GGGGAATCGTCAACGAATGAAACAGGAGCAAGAGATCTTTGATTAGACAGTTTAATGCTATTTGGTCACATTTTATTTCACTTCCAGACAAGCCCTTGGAAGTAAGAGTTCCCTTTAAGATGTTTACGGACACCTGGATCTTTGAGCTGGGTCTGAAAAACCTCCCAGCAGCTTGAAAAAATTACGTTACTATAGAAAGCAACAAAATAAAGCTATGGCAGACCCAGCACGAGCTTCCTTTTGCTCTCCCTGCTACGAGGGAGCGACCTTCCCCAGGAGCTGCAGGCAGCGATACCTTGAACATCTGCAGAAGCCAAGCACAGGGAAGGTGCCCAGCCTGAGCTCTGAAGCTAAGGGAGCAAAACTTGACCAATGTATTTTTGAAGAAAACCGGAGCCCAGAGTGCCCCTGCTCCCACCTTTCTTGAGCATCTTTTGCAAGACCGTGAATTACTGCTGGTGCATCCCAGGTAACACACAGAAAAAGAGCGATCGCAAAGTAATTAGCAGCGGGCAAGAGGCATTTGTCTCGAGCAATCCCTCAAACCACGTCACCCTTCTACACGTATTAATTTTCTAAACTAACATAAAGCAGTTAAACTTCACAAAGAAGCAGTTAAAAAACACTTACAAGTAAAAATCTTTTACAACAACAAAGCCAGGCTGTGTTTGATTAACATTTTTTTTAAAAGAGCCTTTTTCTGACTTGAAATACCTGAGGGAGCTTTACAAGGGGAGGGGATGGAGGAAATAAAGCAACTCTCTCGGTTGCAGCAACCCCCCTGCCTCTCTCCTTCCCAGGCCGGGCCACAGCGGCGTGCACGGCCGTGCGACGCGCGTGGAGCAGCAGCTCCTGCCCTCGGGTGTCTCAGTGGGGAATGTCCAGCCAGAAGCAAGACGAGGTGATGAGCACATGGGCTGAGTGCTCTGAGCTTCAGGGGCTCAAAAGCCAACAGCAAACCCCATGGAATGGCCCAGTCCCACAGTGGGGCTCAGCCCCCAGCGGGGATTTCCCTGGCTGCTGGATTCAGCCGGGGACATGAATTCACCCGTGTTGGGGGACGTGGTTACAGGACAGGCATCCCCTTACCACAGTTAACGCACTTCCATCTCTCAACATCAACAAGACAAGGATTTGCTTTCATATATCTCAGCCTCCAAAGACCTCAGCCCCCCCCAGCCCCAGGACTGCTGCTCCACACGGAGTCCAGGGTGCCCGGTCCCGGGCAGGTAACTTGCCATCTCTGCCCTGGCTTAGCAGATTAACTCTGGTTTAATTACTCCATAGGTATTTCTGTAAGGCCATGACACATCCAGTAACAAGAGAAGGAGGTACTCACCACCCAGGAGATGTGGCCATCAGTTCTAGCAGGGCTGTGGCTGCTTCCTCCTGCCTGATTTAGGGATCCAGGTGCCGGAGGGGGCTCAGGGAAGAGCTCTTAGCAGCAGACAACTCCAGTCAAGATCATTAGCACAGGCAAGGAGCCACCCCTCATCCACATCCCACTTTAGCATGTAGGTATGAGACCTATCAGAAGGACGAGATGTTTGCAGAGCGCTTTGAACACAGGTTGCCAAGCATTGCCCAAGCAGGGACGGGCACACACCACGCTCCCAGCCTGCTGGAAAGCGATGAAGACACCTCACAGGGCATGTAAAACCCCGTCAGACACACTGGTTATTCGGTTCCTTCTCCACTGCAAGCTGAAACACGCTTAGAGAAGAACCGTTTGGTAACAGGGTCTCCAACCCACTGTTTTGAAGCGCAGCTGCGATTTGCAATTCAGTTTATTGCATTAAAATCCAGCACAGCTCTAGCAGAAAGAAATAAATATGTCACTTGTCACAGCTCCCCTGATATCTTGAGGAGAGCTTGGGCTCACACTCATGGAGGGGTGCGTGGGGCTTGCCAGAAAGCGAACGGCAGAGCAAACCTGGGGCCATAAACGCACCGTCCTGCTCTCAGCCCTGCCAAGCCAGCGGGCAGGTCCCATCCTGGCCCCTTCTCCTGCTCCAAGCCCTGCTTCCCGAAACCCTCCACAGGAGAGGGCTTACTTGGAGTGGGGGTTTCTCCACCCACGGAACAACAGCCTGAGCAAGCAGAGGGAAAATATAAACTTGAGCCAGTATTGTGCTAGAGGCTGGAAGCAAAAAGCAGTTCACCTGCCGCCGCCTGAGCCAGAGCCAAGAGAAGCCCTCGCACCTCCCCGCTGCTCCTGCTAGGTTTATCAGGAGTGAATAAAACTCCATAAAAATCAGTCGTTCAAAGGGAGTGGGAGAGAGGTGTTTTGACTCTGCCTGTATCCCCAGCATGATCCCCAAAGCAAGCTCTCACCTTCCTATGGACCTCCGTTAGAGCTGCAGCCGTTCACTGCTAATTGATTCAATATGCATTTGGACTAGGATTTTTAATTAATTTTATTACAGAAAAATTAATGCACTGCCTCCCCACAGATGCATTAGGACACCAACACAAGCAGTCGGAAATCATCCTGCAGCGCAGTTTTCGTCGTGACTGCTTGGGGGAAGCTAACCCCACAGCAGCAGTGGGGCTTTCCCAAGGCAGTCTCGCCCCTGGAGCCCCCCCATCCTAGTCTAAGGGCTCACTTTCTGCTCACACCAAATATTTACTAAGTTTCAATTGAATTTAGAAATGAATAGGCTACAGAGCAGCAGGAGAGCATTGCTCCTCTGCCTCCCTGGGTCCCGCTGATAGAGCACGGGCAGGCTCTGACCTGCATGGAGCAGCTCAGCAGCCCTGTTCATCTCATCAGCCCCTAGCTGGTTTGATTTCAGAGGGACGGGATGCATTTTGGTAGCAACTGCGTTCTCAAGACTAAGTATAGTCCCCAGCGTGAATCAAACAGTACCAACCATGGGAAAGGACCTGCACGATGTAGGTCAGCAGATGTTTTCTCTCAAGCAGAAGTTCTCACATCTCTACCACTGGTTTAGGCACCCCGAGGGACCGCACCACCCAGCCAAGCCATCCTCTGCCTCCCTGGAGCAGCAAGCAGGCTTCAACAGCTGCACCGATGGCACCATCACTTCTTAACGGAGCCCCTCATCCTCACAGCCCACCCCAGCAGGCACAGAGGGATGCAACACATCACATTTTGGGAATGAAAGCAGTCCCACAGCCAGGTATCAGATTCACGCAAAGGAGAGTCTCTCTTCATCCCTTTCCTCCCAGATCTATTTTATCATTACCCTTCTCTACATATAACAGAGTTAATGAGATGTATTTACCCTGCTTAGCTCAGGACTAAAGTTGAACTAGAAGTTTTAGCTGTACAGCTGCCCAAAGCAGAAGCATCTGCTCTGAAAGCAGAGAGAGAGCATTTGGAGGGTGTTCTATGGAAGGAGAAAAAAAAACAAAACAAAACAAAACAAAAAACTGGGTGAAATTAAGCCGTTCCAAGTATTTGAGATGGCATCTCAACACACAAAAAACAGTGGTGGGGAAGGAAATAATGTGTTATTTAAGTACATTCACACCATGGTATTTATCAATGTCAAGAGCATCGGGGGAAGAAACATCATCACTACATCTGCAATATCCAAATTTGAGTCCCCGGAGCCCTGCACTAGCATTGTATCGAACAGCATCCCCCAGACACGCCATATTTCAGGAATTTGCAGAGCAGGAATAGGTAGTGCACCGTATGGTCCAAGACCTTAATCAAGCCCTGCAACTCGATAGATTTCCAATATAACGAAGACAAAGAGGTGTCAGCTCCAGTTCTTATTTGCTAATACTATCAACAGGGGCTCAGCTCACTAGCAGTTAATTCAAAGCCAAGCTCGATTTGCACAGCAGTGATCTACACTAATTCCCATATGTGGCTAAGGGGAGATTTTGCCAACTAGACAATAGAAACAGTATTACAGCTCCTGAACTGATGCCATCACTTTTCTCTTCTGCTCCACCACTTCCCTATGAAACTTCCACGTGCTGGAATCTCCAGTCGTCTTCTCCCTCGCCTCAGAGGATGTGCGGGAAGGGCAGCAAATACAAAGGTACCTATTTCTTTTCCAGATGCACCTTTATTGAGGCTTTTAAGATGCAACTTCCCACAAAACAGGAGCCAGTTTCACACTCGGGGGTTCTTGTGCATTAAAGATACTAAGAATTGCTGTAATTTAACAATTATAGAAGTATTTCTACATGATCCAACTGTAACTTAGCCTTAAAAAAAAGTTGCCACATGTTGCTACATTTCATTAAAGTTCATTAGCTTGCTTCATCCCGTATCAAGTTTTGTTCAGTTTTGCTTTCAGGTTCTAGTCCATCACCTTGACACTAGATCAGGCTTTTCTGCCAAGGTACTATGGCTGTTGAGAAGTCACAGGAAGCCAGATGTGCTGCCCAGTTCAGCAACGAAGCAGTTTTATCCACATTACAAGCAGTTATGAGCTGCAAGCCTGGCTCTCGTTAATCTGCAGTTTGGGTCAATGGAAGCAGCAGCAGCCCATACTCACAGCTTACACTAATGAGTTACCCTGTCCTCTGAAGTCAGCTGCAGCCCGCATCTTTGACCTGCTATTAATGCAAGGATCCTCACACCCCCCGTCTCCTCCTCGCTGCCAAGCAAACAGCAACTGCTCACTACAGCCAGCACGAGGAAGGAACCCAAGGGTAGGGAGGGGGCTGCTGTAGTTTTCCCAGTTCGTGCAGTTTCTGCGCTAAGGAAAAAGGAGGTTAGAGTCATCAGCTAGAGAGCAGGTATTACCTCTCCCTTCCAAGGGCTGCAAAACATCCCCAGCTTGGATTTGGAAAGACAGCAAGACTGTGACGCAGTCAGGCAACCACCAAAAGGGGAAGAGAGACCTGCGTGGCTCCCCCAACCCACCTGCCAGCACCCAATTCATAGGAAAACTTGTGTCATTAGAGGAAGGAGACGGACTAAGGACCCGCGCCACGTTTAGCAGGAAGTTAGACTAGGCGCCTGGCTCCTGCCATGAATAAAGATGCTAGAAAAAACCACAAGTCTGAAACAGTTTAACACAGGACAAAAAAGGCACATTTTAATATGTACAGCAATGCATTTGGGCTATAAATTTACCCAACACAACTGAAAAAAAAAAAATGCAAACTATGCTTTTATACTTATTCCATGGTGTCAGCCTCATTCCTAGCCACCTACCTTTCTCTGCATCTCTGAATGCTGCTATATACACACACAAACAAACAATTACGTCATGAATGTTCATTTAGGCTCCCAAGTTCAAGTAATAAAGTTCAAACTTGCATAGCATCTTATGCCACTCAGCCATAAACAGTTACGATTGCATATTAGCTGGAGCAGCCATCTCTTTCAATTCAGCCAGTTTTGGCTGGCCACCATTTATTTTTTTATTATTTTTTTTAATTATTATTTATTTTAAATCCTTGAGTCAGAATGTTTCCTAAGTCACCAGCCCTGAGGGATGCCACAGACTTCAAAATGAACCTCTTGCTGTTGTTAAGATCCTTTTAAACCAGAAATGTAGAGTGTTGTCAAGAACAGTTTTAAAAATGTAATACTGTTTATTTTGCTTCAAAAACATTTCAGCATTCTAAACATACAAAAAAAACAGAACGTTGCAAATTCGTTTAAGTACAGAGTGTTTTTGAACTTCAGTTGCTGCACTGGCTCTTCACTTAGTTGACGATGAAGAGATGTCTACAGTTTCAGTTTAAAAACTACCGCACTTAACTAAAAAAATCCATACACTTCTCATGCCAGCTGAACCCCCTTCCACAACTAAGAATGGCAGCAGAATGCTATTTCACTATATACAGAAAGACAACTTTAAGCTAAATGGACGCCCACTGTAGTGTAAATAGATCTACCCTCACAGTGCATGCTTTGGGCCATGGCACCCCGGGGAACGTACAGCCTTTCCAAGTAATCACTGCTCCTCTAAGGCATCATAACTCTAAGCATGTACCACAAGAATCTGTCTAGTTTTTACAAACTATAGATATGTACAGTTTATAACCCAGGATTTTCTAGCCAATAACCATATAGTAACACCACCTTACAAATTAAAAAAATGCTTGAAACATTTTTAAATGCTTTGTTACACCAACAGCAAAGTGCACAGAGTTAGGAGAACACTAGAGCGCCTTTTCATTTTAAAAATGTTTGGAAATATGTACAACTTTGATACAGTTTCAGGGTGCTCACTACACCCATGGCCACTTCATGTAAACCAGTTACAATTTCTAGAGCACTTTTAGAAACTACAACGCGATCGGAATCCAAATTCTTTTTTTAATTAAGCCTAATAAGGGCAAGAGACACCATCTCGAATAAGAGGTGCTTCATTTATGGTGTTTCCCCTACTCTATGGTATTCACATGGAGACAAGTATTGTACAGTTTTATTCATCATCATCATCTTCATCCTCCTCTTCTTCATCCTCCTCCTCCTCTTCGTCTTCTTCCTCTACCTTTTTCCGAGCAGCTTTGGTTGCTGCTCCCTTTGCGCCATCAAACTTTCCTTTAGACTTGTAGTCTGCAACATCCTGCAAAGTCAAGGGGATGTCTTAATTTGCTCTACGTGGCAAACATACAGCATTTGTACAGCACCGGGCGTTCACGTAAAGGGACCGGCTTTCCACAGCCGCATCCCCGGAAAGGGGAGACGGCCAACATCATCGCACACAGGAATGCAGACACCTAAACTACCTGACTGCCTCCGGATGACAGAAACCTCGAATGGTTGGCTATTTCTCGAACCTCAAACCTTTATGGTTATTTCTTTGAGGAGGAGAAGAGAACCCAGCCTCTCTTAGTAAAAGCTTCCTGCTAATGGGACAAAGCTCCTGTACCACCACCACAAACCCTTCACCGGAGCAACACAAGCAGCTGCTGCTGCACATCACTGGGCGAAGCTCTCCCTCCTCGCTGGAATCTGCCTGCTGCTCTCTGACCTACTCCGTCCCAACGGACACAAAGTTCGGCTACGTAGCTCAATGAGAACAGGTCTGCATGCTGGAGATGCTCACTATGCTGGGGCCACCTTAGCTGAGTCTACGTTCCAGAAACATGTCAACACAAGAGCCGGAACGAATAGGCACAAGTGAAAACTAGCCTTACCTTCTCGTACTTCTCCTTCAGTTTAGCTGCCTTATTATTATAAGGCTGCTTTTCACCATCACTGAGGTTGTTCCACATTTCGCCCAGCTTCTTTGCTACGTCCCCAATGGATATGCCAGGGTTTGTGGACTTGATCTTGGGGCGGAACTCTGAACAGAAGAGGAAGAAGCCAGACCTTGGGGAGAAGCATCAGAGGACAGTCAGCACCACAGCAGCAAGCACAGGGAGCATCCCCTTCCTCCATCCCTCACCCACAATCATGCATGCGAGAACTCACATGCTGAGTAGAAAACACTTTTTTAAAAAACGTAAAGAAAAAAGAAAACACAAAAACTGAAAAGTACCCAACAAAACACAAACCCAAACATGTTTTGATTTTACTGAGGCCCATACCTGCAGCCTTCACCCAATGCTGTTTTTAATCAAGCATTGTCTATCCCCCCACCCAATTTCATCTTAGATACGCAAGTCCCACTGTGACCCGGTCATTTCCATGTCTTCCATCACCACGAGGTTTAAGGGTACCAAGCACTGACAGTTCCTGTTCAAGATTACAAGCTGCTTACAAGATTTACAAGCCAGTATCAGTAAGCTATGAATATACCAATGCTGCTACACCAACAGGATGCCCCATCTACTTCCTTTATGGAAACCTATCAGCTGTGCTACAGGGCATGAAAATAAAACTAAATACTTGTGCATCGAATGCCTCACAGATACTTACGGTGGTCGTTTTGGGGCATTGGGGTCCTTCTTCTTCTTGCCACCCTTAGCTGGTCCATAGTCCTTCATTTCTCTATCATATCGTACCTTGTCAGCCTTTGCCATTTCATCAAATTTAGCCTTCTCCTTGCTTGACATGGTCTAAAAAACCAAAAAACAAGACACCGAACCTGTGATTACACAACTGTTCAATAGCTGGCAAACTTTAAGTAAACAAGCCAACACACACCAACTCGATAGGGGAGTTTCAGAATTTGTTTGTTTTCTAACTGGACCACCTTGGGGACGAAGGTCCTGTACCAGGGACCGCAGCCACAGCTGGCATACTCAGCCAGAGGGAAGCAATGGGAAGGGGACAAACACAGCCAGAGTCTTCCTTGAGGACACAGGCCTGGAGGGAGGTGGAGTGCTCAAGGGCACTGCTTAGGAACAGGAAAAGAGTTCGTGCTGTGGTGGAAGCACCTAAACGGGCAGATACACCAGGCTGGAGCCTTCACGACCATTACAGAAGTCAGCAGCACCAGATAAATGGCCAGGACACTTTGCCAAGGACGGCACACAGACCACCAGCTCCCTTCACGTTCAGGCACACGTACATCATCCTAGCAGGCAGCATACGAAGTTATCCCTTCAGGAAGTCACAAATTAAGGTACCTTCCACCTCTCCGAGCACTTCTTGGAAAACTCTGCAAAGTTGACTGGAACCTCTGGGTTCTTTTTCTTGTGTTCCTCACGGCACGTCTGCACAAAGAAGGCATAGGCAGACATCTTGCCCTTGGGCTTCTTCGGATCACCTTTAGCCATCTTGACTCTGTGGGGAAGAGGGAAAATGGGGAAAAAAAAAATGTGAATGTATATATGGATGAATGCATATACGTGTGTGTATACATGTATATATAAATATATGCACGCCACATATTTATATATACATATATATACACACACCACTATCCCCTGAAGTCATGTCCCATCAGTAACACATTCCTTTCTTCCCCCCAACACCTCTTACCATCCCCAACAGAGAGACTTAAATTATTCCTCCTTGACACTCGGGTTGCAGACTTGAGCCAAACGAAACCGGTCACTGGATTTAAGTTTACATCATGTCCAAAGACTGGAGACAGGCTATTAAATACACACACTCCTTCCCATTAAGAGTAATATATGAACTAATATAAAAATACTTGTTTTAGTTGGCTACCACACTGGGGCTTGAGTGGCACGCACAGTGCCAGGCTATGACTTATCCCTTTAGTAGCTGGAGTTGGCATGTTAGCAGCTGCTGTCCAGATAGAAAGGCAGGACAGATTACTCCCCCTTGTAAAAGTGCAATAACCTTTCAGATATAAGAAAGTGTGCAAATAAAGGCTAGTTTTAAACACAACAGGACCCACGGAGCTCTGTGAGGTGAGCAGCTTGCTCTTGCTCCACCAAGTGACACGTTCGGAGGCGTAGTGGTCAGCGCACAGATGCGATTAGCAAGTCACTGAGAGGACGATGCTAACTTTTGGGCAGCATTTCTTTCCCCTTCTTACGTTTTATTTTTTTTTTTTAACCTCGGGAAAAAACCACCAAACCCGCAGCAACATTTTCTATTTACAGCTTCTCAAGCGTCTGAAAATTTAATTTTTATTGGCGCGACGTTAATATTTAATTGCGCCTATTAACCCCCTCCCAAGTACAGCAAAAGTGGCTTTAAGCCGCCCTCTCCC